ACAGTCATCCAGACCTCTGCCTTTCACCTCCATGCCTTCAAAGTCCTGCACAGCTCCCAAGAGATGCCCAGATCCGGGGAGATTCCTGGTGAGGGTGTCCGTCAGGATCGAGCTTTCCAAAGCCTTTCGGACTGCCCAGGACGAGGACGGCCGTGGGCAAGAGCCCTGGAGGTTTGCAGGGAAGACCAATAGATGTTCTGGATCTTCTCTGGTACGGACCAAAGGAAAGTAAATTCTTCAAACCATACTTTAAAAAACAACTTACAGCACTAAAAAAAAAAAAAAAAAAGATGATAAAGCAAGATGCTAATCTTTACATCAGTTAGGTCACTCTCTGTCTGGAGCTCATTTGCCTTGCAAATACTCTATTGTTCCATGCTGGGTCCCTCCCTACTCGCTTAAATGATTAACTCCGCCCCAAAAAAGAAGAACTTTGCTGACACTGCTGGAGGAGAGACTGATCCTGCCCCTGACACCATGGGGCCTGTCAGCTACTCATCAGAGACCTACGACTTGGTGAGTGGGACCGGGCTTTTCTGGATAACAGGGAGAGCAGGCAGAGCTGGGGTGGGGTACGAGACCTGGTTTCGATTTGTCCATCTCCTCACCCTTCGGCTGGCAGTGGGAGAGCTGGAGCGATTTCTTACATCGGCACAATCACCCCTCACATCCCCTTGAGTCTGGACCTGACCGATGAGGGGGCTGTGAGACAGCCGGCGTGACGTGGCTGCAGCCATCGGGACCCCAGGGTGCTGGGTGTTCCCTTGGGAGAGCTGCCCGGCTGTGGGACCACACACGCAGACCTTCTGGTGAGCGCTGAGCCCAAGTGCCAAGCCTGAGGGCAGTCCTTGCGTGGGGGACCACGGTCGCTGCTGAAGGGCTGGGCGGTGAGCCGGGCTGCTGCCACCCCCATTCCAACCTCTGCTCCCTGCCACCCTGCGCAGCCATCAACACAACGTGGGCGTGAAACCCTTGTTCTGAGTCGGGCGCCTCGTGCGCCAGGCTTCTGTGGTATAAATTACTGTGCGCACCCTGTGCAAAGCCCTGGAGCCCTCGCCCGGTGTGGTTACACAACAGGAATACCCCAGCGAACCCAGTCCTCGCTCTCCGCCTGCGAAAATCCTTGGTACAACCACGCACACTCCTACCCCTGCTCGCCTTCTCCACTGCTGTTGGCTCTGCTGAAAGGGGAGTAAGCGGTATGCTTACAAGAGGGGAATTTTAAAGAGGGGAAGATAAATTGCAAGTACTTCTTCTAATCAGGAGTGATGACACTGCCCCGCAGTTCTCTCCCCTGCGTCTGCAAGGGAAAGGCAGCAGCTGCTCCTTTTAGAGCATTGTGCTGTCCAAGGGGAAGCCCACAGCAGCGCTAGCATTAGCCTGGCTTTCAAATGTTGCCGCTCAGATTTTATTTTTTAATACAGCGGCTCTCTGCCACTGACCTCAGCTTTTGTTTAGTTTCTCTAAAGACAGAAAGGCTAGATTTAGTTTTTACCAGTTTTTCTGGCCCTCCTTTGTCCTGTACACCAGGGAAGAGAGAGAAGATGGAGGGGGGAAGCCCTACCCTCCTTGTTTTTTTCTGATTCACCCGGTATAAAAAGCCTTTGTGAGCAGTGGTTGTTTCTTTAGAACTTTTTTGCAGAAGCCACTTCTCCCCCTGACCTCTGCTGAAGTTCAGCAGCAAGCACTAATGCTCGCTAAGAGGTTAAGACAAATCTCAGACCTTTTCCATCTCCATGCTGGTTCATTCCTCCAGCTGAACTCTCCACTGGAAATCTGTCCCACCTCCAGACAACCAGCAGAGCTGGAGTGTGCCCGCAGCAAGTCACACGCTATAAGCAAGCGGCTGCTTCTGGCCAAACGGCGTTGTTTGTAATGCAGGGCGATGAAGCAGCACTGGGATTTGTTCTTTGTGTGCAATACTTTCCAGAACCTTAGCTTAGCAATTTTACCTCTGCTGTGAATTGTTTTAAGTGATAAAGGAGACCCCATGTGAGGGGGGAATGTGTCTGACTTTGGGACCGAGCACCGACAGTCAGGTGCTGCAGCAAGAACAGTTTTATACCTTTTCTCAGACTTCCTATGGTTGGGAATTTGTGACATGCATTTCCCACCTCTGTCTCCTGGGAGCATCCCTGGGCTGGCTCCCTCCCTGGAACCAGCTGCAGATCTCACACCAGCAATGCCACGTTTGCTTTGGTGGTGCCATGGGTTGCTAATCCATAGCAAGAAAGCTTTGCCGGCTTCGCCTTCCTCACCTGCAGGCTAGGGAAACAAAAACAGCATTGCAGAAAGACCCCCAAAGTGCTGCCGGCCAGTTTTCATTGTAACGGGACCAACGTGGCTCAGGAGCCAGGAAGGCACTTGCACTACAGTAATGCAGCATTTCCACAGGCTTTGGTTTTACTCGTGGGTTACCCAAGTTCGGCACCCAGAGGGCAGTGAGCTCTGTCGGTGCCTTGCACTGACGTGGGCAGTTCCAGTTCTAAGCTTTGAAGTGAAACATGCTGCTCCCGGCCCTGGCACGGGCTGGAAGGGAAGGATTCACCTGGAAAATCCCTAAAAGTGCACAAGATGCTGCAGCCAAATGTTTTGATTGCTGGCAGTTTTGAGGAACTGAGAAAAGCAGCTGACACACCACGACCGGAATAACTCTGAGATGTGGGTTAGAGGGGAAAAGGGATCCCTGAACAAAGAGCACATGGGAATGGGCTTCCCAGGCACATGCTTGGCTGCTCAGGTACAGAAAGAGACACCCCTGGACTGCCCACCCCCAAACCTGGCTGCAAGTGTGGTGCAGGAGACCTGTGCAAAGGTCCTCTTCCACGTGCGATGTTGACTTCTCCCATCCCAGGAGCAGAAAGCTTCCCCTATCGTTCCTCTGCAGCTAGGCATACTGTCATATTTAGTATGTGGGAAGTGGGGAAAGGAGGATGGATTTTCCTTTATAGATGTCCAAGGAACACACGTTTCCTTATGTCACACATGACAGATATTGCCATATTACAGATAATCCCTTCTCTGTGATACTACTAGTAATGATAATAATGGTCATGTTAAGTCTCTGAACTTAATATACAAAGAAGTCATACATATCTATCTATTACACGTTGCTAATAGCCGAGTTACAGGACAGAAGGGAGAATTGCAGGCCCAGTATAGGTAAATGGAAGCACACAAATCCAGTCCTAGAGATGGGAATGGCAGCAGAGTCCCCTGAAGCCTTGGCTTGTCACATTTGGTGCATCCCCTGCAGCTCCAGTCCCTGCCCTTCCTGTCTCAGCCTGGACTCTGACTTTTCATCCTCTTTGATTTGTCTCCAACTCATCTCTGTCCGCTCCCACCCACACACGCGCCTCTGCTTGGAGACGCGCACGAGCGGACTCCTCGGCGCGGCTCAGAGCACGCTTCCCCTGCACGCGGCGGTGGCTTACGGTAAGAGCCCTACCTGCCGTCTTATCAGCCATCAGATGGTGTCTGATAGCGGCGCGCAGCCTCCGCACCTCTGGCTCCGAATGCAAGGCGATGCTGGAAACCCTTCAGCAGCTGAAGCCATCGAGCGCCGTGCAGGATCCACCGCTGTCGGTGTGCTGGCGTGGCTCCAGGGAGCGCTCCAACACGCTGGCCAGCAAACCCAGCCATTCCCCATCATTTCCTTTTTCCCTGTAAAGCTGGAACCCTCCAACCTCCCCCCAGTGAAGTTACTAATTCCAACACACGTTCTCTTTGGGGTTTTCAGCACAGTCACACGCACATCCCGAGCAGCCTGGTTTGGTTGCTGTACCAAATTGCACAGGGTTTTGGTTTGGTTTTGGGTTTTTTGGGGAGATTCAAGAATCTGGCCCTGGCCAACATGTCACAGGTTTCTGTGCGTGTTCGTAATTCCTGGTGCAGGGTCTGCGTACGCACTAGGCAGGAAATATTTTCAAGCCAGGGAGAAAACAAGCTGGGAGGGATTTCTAAAGGCTTCTGCCTTTAGCAGCAATCTGCAGTCTCCAGAATCATACTCTAAACCATTAAAATAAGTGTTCTGTGGGAATATGAATGCTTCTCACCAAAGGCTTGCAGCCCCACCATTACATTAGGGGAAGACAGTTGCATGCATTTGAGATTTTGGGCAGGGAGGAGGATGCTCAGCCACCAAGAGGACCTGCTCTCACCCATTTGGGAGAAAGCACCGTGGCATCGCAGCACAGTGGCAGCACTGCTGGGAGCAGAGCTGGTGCAGGGGGGGGAATGGGAACGTGGCAAGACCGGGAGTAACTTGGGCCAGACCAAAGTCTGCCTGGCTCAATGCTCTTTCTGGCAGCAGCCAGAGGTAGAGACCCAGGGAAGAGGGCAAGAGCTGGGCAAGCTTATTGCAGACTTTCCCCAAGGTCTCCCTCTCCTACCGTCCAGTGCTCAGAGACTGCCCGAGCCAGCTGTGTGCTCCATGCGTTCAGTGATGCTCCGTCGGCTTCTTCCCCACCAACACGCCCAGGCTGCCCTCGGAGCCCTGCAGATGGTCTCAGCAGCACAGCGGTTTGGGACGCGCGCTGCCGCTGCGGTGTCACCTCGGTACCCCAGGCAGTCACGTGCGGCGGCACCCGGCGCGTCACCCAAGGAAGGCTGCCAGAGAGAGGAGAAACATCACCCACCCTTCCCTGGCCAGGGACGACACAGGACCCAAGGCTGGTCATGGCCATTTGTCTTAGTAGCACATGAGGGGAGCAAAACCCCCACAAATCAGCTCTAAAACTGCTCAAAGCTGGTATTTTTAGATAGGAACTCTGGCTGAGAAGGGAAGGAGCAGCAGGTGCAAACGGCTACAGCTGGCAGTGAAAGGTACGAAAGCAGCAAGCGGTGACTTCCGCTGTGGTTGACACCAAAGTCTTGGCGCTGGTCTCCAGAGAGGGTGTGGGTGGGGGAGCTCGGGGTGACTGCTGCCGAGCTCTGCCCCGTTGTCACTCATTCCTCAGCTTGCCACAAGCTGTGCTGCTCCCCTCTTCTGCCTGTCTGCATCTGAGCCCCCTGCTTTTGTGAACGCTCAGCTCCAGCGAGGTGCTCAGCCAGACAGAGCGTGTCTGCAGCCAGGGGCTCGTCTCCAGCGCAACTGCAGCCTCCAGCACTCGGGACTTGTGTGCGGCCTCTGCCCAAATACTGGCTGCTCAGCTGGCAGAGAGCTACAGCAGCCCAAGGGCGAACCACATCTGTGGCGGCTCCATCGCACTTTCCTTACCGAGTATCACCCAGGGTCCGAGTGGTGTTTTCAGATTCCCTTTCCTGCTCTGACTGCAGTTAACTCAGAACCGCAAGGTTTATGGCAGAGCAGATTTCTCTCTCCAGCATCCATCCCTGTAGCCACGGCATTGCAGCACCTCCCATCGTGTTTGAACACCTGCCCCGCACCTTTCTCTGCGTGCGTGGGAAGCAACGCCGAGCACGGCGGCTGCTGTCCCCACCTCACCGTGCACAGCCACAGGCAGCTCCAGAATCTGCCAGGAGGAGGGACAGAAGGGGACGGGACCACTGCCTGTAACTGGAGGCACAAATGTGCTCTGCACTGGATCCCACTGTCTCCGTACCTGGCACCAGGACACGGGGATGCTGCGCTCCAGGTCTGCTGGCTGCAGCTGAGGGATGGGGTTCTCGTGTTCAGAAACTCCCCTCTGGTAACCAGACTCTCTCTCTTCCCCAGAGCCAGGTGGAGCTGAGCGGGTACGACGAAGCTGACAACACCACCCCTTCTTTGGAGGGCTACTTCTGCTTCAACCCCGCCTCATCCATAGTTGGCAACCAGAGAGACCCCTTCAGAAAGGTCTTCATGCCCCTCATCTACCTGCTGATGTTCGTGCTGGGGACGGTGGGCAATGCCCTGGTCCTGGTCATTTTAGAGAGGTTCAAGCGGTCTCGCACTACCACAGAAAACTTCCTCTTCCACCTCACCCTGGCCAACCTGGCGCTGCTGCTCACCTTCCCTTTCAGCGTGGTGGAGAGCTTGGCCGGGTGGGTGTTTGGGAAGTTCCTCTGCAAGATCCTCAGTGCCGTGCACAAGATCAATTTCTACTGCAGCAGCATGCTGCTGGGGTGCATCGCAGTGGACCGCTACCTGGCCATTGTCTACGCCATCCACACCTACCGCAAGCGCCGAGCTCGCTCCATCCACCTCACCTGCACGGCCGTCTGGCTCTGCTCGCTGCTTCTGACCTTACCCGACCTCATCTTCATGGAAGTCTGGACAGACGACAGCAACCGCAGCATTTGCTATTTTCCAGAGGTTGGGATCGATGGCAACAACGTCTGGCTGGCGACCCGCTTCCTCTACCACACCGTGGGCTTCTTCGTGCCGCTGCTGGTCATGTGTTACTGCTACACGGCCATCGTCCGGGCCCTGTGCCAGTCCCAGCGCCTGCAGAGGCAAAAAGCTGTCCGCGTGGCCATCCTGGTAACCGGGGTCTTCCTGCTCTGCTGGAGCCCATACCATGTTGTCATCTTCCTCAACACACTTACCAAGCTCGAAGCCTTCACCAAGAACTGCCTCCTGGAAGACCAGCTGGACACAGCCATCATGGTGACGGAGGCCATCGGCTTCACGCACTGCTGCCTCAACCCCATCCTCTACGCCTTCATTGGAGTCAAGTTCCGTAACGACTTCTTCCGCATCCTGCAGGAGCTGGGCTGCATCAGCCAGGAGACCCTGCAGGAGATCCTGGAGGTGACAAGGAAGGGCAGCGGGATCGAGTCTGACAACACCACCTCCATCTCCACTTTCTAGCTGGACCTAGCAGGGCAGGACCTCCTGGGGCTTGCCTTCCCAGTGGCACACGTCCTCTGGCCTCGGTCCCAAGTTTCACAAGCGTCCCCACCACCTTCTTTGCTCCTCGGGACACTAAGGTCTGGTGGCCACCAAAACACCCAAACCCCACCACATACCTTCTCTGGCTCCTTCTGGTTCTCCTCCCTGTGGACATCTGTCTGGCAGCTGTTGCCGAAGGCTGGCTTGCTGACGGTCGCTCTGGCAGGGCTGGGTGAGTGGGTTGAACCTGACATTTCCACCTCTCCCTCCAAGAACTGACTGCAGGGTCCTGCACGCAGAGCCAAGCACCAGACCGGGGTGTCGGGGGCAAGGAAAAAAGTGCAGCCAAGTAAACATGGAACCCTAACAGGCTTGGGCAGCCTGCTGCTTCCTCGTCGATCTTGGAGTGATGCTGTGCACGCGCTGCAGTGCAATGTTTCTCTTGCTGAGCGGAGCAGTGCTGTTACCTGAACTGTGCGAGAGCCATATGTACCGCTATGTGAGCACGACCGTAACCACGAGCACACTTGAAAATCCACTCCACCATTCACCTCGCTTTTTAAGCAAAGTCAGAACAACATCAGTTCTCCTGCTGCAGCAGGATTTTTGTGCTAAACTCACTTCCAAAGTCCTGAACCCACTAGCCAAGGGCTCGGTTGCAGCAGAACTTCACCGTACCCAAGGGCCCCGCTGAAAAGACCCATCGTTATGGAAGGAGTCACATTGCCTCACTTCAGCTCAGATCTCAACAGCTTGTTGTCAAATGGTGACTCGAGGAGAAAACTCCCCAAGCATAAGGCTTTTCTACAAAGAGCAGCCCACCATTTCCTGCAGCGCTGCATCTTCACAGCTGAAACCTGCAGGTAACGGCGACCGTGATTGTCCAAGCGCGTAAGCGCAGCAGAGGAAGATCTCTCCGAAGCCTGCCCTTGCTCTCTCCACGGTTGCACCAGTGAGCAAACCCGTTGCAGAGGCATTGTAAATACCTCCCCAGCCCCAGTTCTGATGTGAACTGTGTTCCTACGTCACAAAAGAAATGAACAGGGTGTAAAGCTCTTACAGTGTTCACAAGGTAGAAAGAAAATCAGCAAACAAAATACGGGTGAACAGGTTACGCCTCTGTTGTTACTATAATTTTTAGTGCTGGTATGTTGGTAAACTTTTAGAAAGCTGTGACTTGAGCTGTAATAAACAGTTAAATAAAGTACCATCACCTCATGCATAGCACCTGTAAGCAGTTGCCCTCAGTCATGTCACCTTTGCCAGGGCAACGCCTCAGAGAGTGCCAAGTGGGGCGAGGGCTGGCAGACCTTTCCCTGCAGAACAGACGTTGATCGTGCTGTGGCTGGCTGCAGCCCGCCTGCCGAACGGCAGCGAGAAGAAGGCAAGAGGAACTCTCCTTCACCGCAGAGGAAACTGAGCTTTCCATTCAGTGAAATCCTCCCATCTCCCTGAGGCTGGCGTGGCTGTCACACGCCGCGGCCCAGCACGGGCTTCCCTGGTAAGTGCTTGTGCCACCGGAGCCACCCCCGGGCACGGCAGCCCTCCGCAGGTCAGCCCCCAGAGCTCTTCTCAGCTCCAGCTCACACTAACGAGCGAGGCAGAGGGGCTCTGCTCCCCCCAGGCCCCTGGGAAGGGGCACCGAGGGCTGAAGGGAGCTGCAAGGTGGCTGCTGGAGGGAGAGGAGAGGCGGCGTGCGGGTGAGGCCACGTCACCACCGCCCAGAGCCACGCTCCTGTGACCCCACTCCCAGGCTGTGCCCGGCATTGAGGCGGAAGCAGACAGCCCAGAGAAAGCCCCGTCCCCGCTGAAGGCAACCCCAGAGAAGGGGACACAAAGACCCCACAGCAGCACACTGCTCTGCGTGTCCCAGAGGGTGACCGAGTCCCCTAGGAGCCCGCAGCGGGGTGTTTCCGCAGAGCATCCTGCTGCACACACCGTGCTCGCGGGGCCATGGTGGGCAGCGGAGCGTGCACCTGTGAGCGCGCGGCAGGCAACGCATGAATGGACGCGTGCCTGGGAGCGCGGCAGAGAAGGGGCCTCCCCACACCCTCGCACCACTCCAAGTGACTCCAGCACCCCCCCGCCCCACCGTGACTCACACACAGTTTCATTTTCCTTACCAAGAAGATGACCTGCTTCCTCACCCCAGCTCCCCCAAGGAGCTTGCAGCCATCTCACCATGGGCAGGAGCTCCTCCTCAGACAGAGGCACGCAGCAACCACCCTGAAGTCGCAGGAAACGGGACCCGGCGTGCTGGAAGCCGAAGCTGCAGTGCCAGAGCCCTCTCCCAGGCCGGGGGGGCGCAGAAACAGCCACGGAGGCAGGGACCAGCAGCATGCAGGAGGGGAAAACGCGGCGCTGTGCCGCATGACTCATATTGGTTTGCAGCGGCCAGAAAAGGTCAT